ATTTGAACAACCAAATGGGAAGAAAATTTAACTAAAAAAATAATAAAAGGAAAATAACAATTAAATTAAACCTAACCAATATATGAGATACTAAGGCATTGACTTCACCATAATCAATCAATATAAATTCTGGATTACTAAATTGTTAAATGTTATTGCATGTGATGGTGGATTTCCCTAAATTAATTAACTAGCTTTTTCAAGTCAAGTTAATAGTTCACTGGTTTGTTAAATTAATCATATCTCTATGTAATTTTAAACAAACTAATGAGCATTAGATTCTATGGAAACCTTTAGCTTAAAAAGGGGGAGCTACTAACTCTCTTCTCTTCCTCCACTACCACATGTGAGCTAATTACCTCTCGGTCTCAAAGTCTAGCACACGGTTTATATTATTATTGGTCTAATCTACACAATTCTTTCTCAAGTTCATGCATAAATCACTAAATCAATTGAAAGATGATCAGGCTTCCAATGCATTAAGTTCAATAATATAAACTCATCATGCGAATAACTTTAATTGAAAATATAAAATCACAAAATCTATATTGAATTGATTAGACTACATCATAGCCTTAATAAAATAAATCAGTTCATAATAAAAAGAATAAAATCTACAATCATAATTAAGAACAAGGAAGAATAAAATCCAATTTGAGGAAATCGAACTCCTTGATATTCTATTGTTGAATCCTCTATTTTGACCTCCAAGAATGCCCAGAGGGCTGCTACAAGCCTCCACAAAACTCCCCTTAATTCTGAATTTGAATGGGTATTTATAGAATTTTAGAAACCCTAATTGAAATAGAAGTAAGACTTGAAATAGAAATAGGAAACTGAATTTTAGATGTTAATCCCGTGGTGCTGACACTTTGAATTACGTGTTAACACAAAATAGGAAAACAGAATCTGATTCTGGACGTTTAACGCATGGTGTCGACACCCCGATCATGTGTCGACACTACACCCGTGTCGTTGTAGTATAGTGGTGAGTATTCCCGCCTGTCACGCGGGCGACCCGGGTTCGATCCCCGGCAACGGCGCCAAAAACTTGATGCACTAAAATCATCCTA